TTAATTTAAATCACAATATAACTGTAAGATTGCGCTCAACTATTTTATTTCATGTGTCGGATTCAAAATCCACCTGCAGGGTTTACACTATGAAACCTTATAAGCTTACTTAAAGTGCATCATCAATCTCTAAACCGAGACATTGATTCTATCATTAATTAATATTTCACAAACACAAAAAGCTTTGCCCAATTCACCGAGAATATTATTCCAATAATGAAACTCATCCTTTAATGAATCAAAGCATAAGACAATCAATGTTTGCTCATATTAAAATAAATCAAGATTAAGAACAATAAACATTATTTCTAATGTCTTAGAGAATATGTTTAACAGTCATTACTAAATACTAAACATTCCATTTCTCTACTGGTCCAATTAAATACATACAAAATGTATAATCACAATTATTGTCATATTGGAACTAATAACAATTTATTTAATGCAAATTTCCAAATTTCCAATTAAATACAAAGAAATAATCGTCAATAGAAAATCATTCATAGCTATACTATTACATATGCATGGTTAATAGTATATCTCTATCAATTTCCCACTTAGACTCATAACCATGCATCAATAACTTTAACTCCCATTCCTTCTACATGACTGTTAAAAGCCTTTGCTGGTAAGCTTTTTGTAAAAGGATCTGCCAGGTTGTTTTCCGATGCAATCTTTGTCACTACCACATCTCCCCTTTGAACCATGTCTCGTATCAAATGATACTTCCTCTCAATGTGTTTTGCCCTTTTATGGCTCCGTGGCTCCTTCCTTCGAGTTGCAACTGCCCCACTATTATCAAATTAAAGTTGTAATAGGCAATTGCACTGAAGCAATTGCACTGAAGAAACTACGCCTAGATCCATAAGGAAGTTCCTAAGCCATACAGCTTCCTTTGCAGCTTCAGAAGCTGCCACATATTCAACTTCCATGGTGGAGTCAGCAACACAAGTTTGCTTAATACTCCTCCAACTTATGGCTCCACCTCCCAAGACAAAAGCATTACCAGAGGTTGACTTCCGAGAGTCCTTATCAGTCTGAAAATCCGAATCTGTATACCCAATGGGTACAAGATCGTCAGATTGATAAACTAACCTATAATCCCTAGTCCTTTTCAAGTACTTGATAATATGCTTGACTGCAGTCCAGTGTTCTCGCCCAGGATTAGATTGAAATCTGCTAACCATGCCAACAGCAAAACAGATATCAGGTCTGGGTCTGGTAACACAAACATGCACTACATAAGGCTTCCCAAACTGCCAGAACATATGGAACTGCCTTCATGTTTCTCTATCTCCCTCAGGTGTCTTTAGGACCATTGTCCTTAGATTGGTCCTTAGATAGAGTGATTCCATGTCTGAAGGGAAGAAAACCCTTCTTGGAATCCTGCATGCTGAAACGAGCAAGAATGGTATCAATAAAAAGTGCTTGAGATAAGCCAATCATCCTTTTCTTGCGATCTCGCATAAGCTTAATCCTAAGAATATGAGCAGCCTCTCCCAAATCCTTCATATCAAAACGTTGGGACAGCCAATCTTTGACAGAATTCAACATACCTACACAATTCCCTATAAGCAGAATATCATCCACATATAGTACCAAAAAACAACCTTACTACCATTCCATTTCTAATACACACAAGACTCATCATGACACTGATCAAAGCCAAAACTTTTAATCGCTTGGTCAAAACAAGTATTCCATGACCTAGATGCTTGTTTAAGCCCATAAATGGACCTATTCAATTTGCAAAGCAAATTTTCTTGTCCATTGTTATTGTTTATGAAACCTTCTGGTTGCTTCATATAGATACATTCATCAAGACTTCCATTTAGGAAAGCTGTCTTGACATCCATTTGCCAAATCTCATAATCATTCTCATAATCATAATGAGCTGCAATGGATAAAAGAGTTCTAATAGACTTTAGCATGGCTACCGGCGAAAAAGTTTCCTCATAATCGATCCCTTCTTTCTGAGTAAACCCTTTCGCAACAAGCCTTGCCTTCTAAGTTTGCACTTTACCGTCTATACCCCTCTTTTTCTTATACATCCACTTGCATCCGATGGGTTTAACCCCTTCAGGTGGTTCTACAAGTTCCCAGACTTGATTAGAGTACATAGACTCCATCTCAGATTTCATAGCTACAAGCCACTTATCAGCATCTTTACAGGCATCTTTATCTTGTAGTGCTTCATACGTAACAGACAGGTTCAATATTCACTTCTTCAGGGATTTTTTATCAAAAGCTTCTCCCAAAAGTGTTATATCGAACCGGTGGTCGTCTAATTCTCACCACTACGACGAAGTACTTACAGGTTCTGCAATCACCACCTTCATTTTGCTTGGCTGTAAAGCCGGCAAGTCAAATGAACTGGATGGGACTACATTCTTGATTCATGTTCTTGGAACTTCAAACATGTCTGTCATCACCGAGCAGGCAATGAAATGTTTAGAAGCCCAACTTGTGCTCCTGTATATTTGGATTCAACAGCTCCACTTTCAGTTCTACATAACTCCACTAACTTTTCAGGTGGTAGATGGAAATGTTAGTAATTGAATATCAGGGCTTGATGCTTGATTTTTACTGGTCGACTAAACATTTCTTCCACTACGACTAGGCAATGAATGTCAACTCCCAACCATTGATGCGTTTAGGTTGTTGTTCTAATGGAAAGGTTCTAGTTGGTAATTTCTCCTCTCAATTCATACAAGGCTAAATCGACTTTTGCGGGAATATGGTTTTTAATATAGTCTTCCCTTAAGGATAATGTGCATTGGTTGCTAACAATGACCGTTTTATCTTGAGAACTATAAAATAAACCATCTTTAGTTCCTCTAGGGATATCCAATAAAGAAGCATAAGTCTGTTTTGATTCCAACTTAATCTGCTTTTCCCTTTCAACACATGGGCTGGACAACCCCACATCCGAACATGGTCTTAGACTTGGCTTTCGCCCAGTCCACAGTTGCCCAGTCCACAGTTCTGTAGGAGTTTTAGGTACTGACTTAGATGGAACCAAATTCAGAATATATGTTGTTGTTTCTATGGCATACCCCCAAAACGAAATGGGCAAATCTGAATAACTCATCATTGATCTAACCATATCCATAAGCGTCCTATTTCTTCTTTCTGCTACACCATTATGTTGTAGCATACCAGGTGTAGACAACTGTGAAGTAATTCCTTATTCTGATAAATAAGTAATGAATTCTCTAGAGAGGTATTCGCCACCACGGTCAGACCGTAACGACTTGATATATTTTCCATGTCGTTTCTCCATTTCTGCCTTGAACTCTTTGAATTTCTCAATTCTCAAAGCATTTAGACTTACGGCGCAACAGGTAAATGTATCCATATTTTGAGAAATCATCTGTGAAAGTCACAAAATACTCAAAACCACTCCTAGCTTGGACACTCATTGGACCACACAAATCAGAATGAATTAATTCAAGTACATCATTAGTTCTATTACCCTTTATAGGAAAGGCCTCTTAGTCATTTTACCTTCTAAACAAGATTCACAGGTTGGTAGTGCCTCCACTTTCAATGAACTCAATGGTCCATCCTTGACCAACCTAGAAATCCTATCCTTGACCAACCTAGAAATCCTATCTACATTAATATGACCCAGCCTTAAATGCCACAAATAGGTATGACTAAATTCAATAGGACGTTTTCTTTTCAATGGAACAATGACATCAAAGTTATTAACTTTAGAATTAGGAATTTGCAGTTCAGGTGAAACTTTGAGAATAAAAAGATCATCAATCATTGATCATTGAGTCAGAACATATCATTTGTTTTCTAAATTTAATAACGACAGAATCATCATAAAATTCATTAAAACAAACCGAATATCCATTCTTGCTCAAACTAGAAACTGAAATTAAATTCCTTCTAATTGAAGGTACATATAAAACATCCTAAAAAAACAATGTTCTATTATTCCTCAAAATTCAAAAGAAATATATAATCCTGAATCATAAAATCTTTTGTAAATGCTGACTTGGTATTCTTTGGTTTCAGAAAAATGCTTACATCTCCTTTATTTAGCTGACGAGTTACCTGAAACTGCTGCAATGAATTGCAGACATGATTAGTGGCTCCAGAATCTACACATCATTGGAGTGTAGTCAACACCGCTAAGCAAGTTTCAACTATCAGCATATAAAACAGAGACATACCTTGCTTCTTCTTGGCTAACCATGTTGGAAATTGTGACTTCCAGTGCCTAGGTTGCTTGCAATGAAAACACTTACCCTTAGGCTTTTTCACAGCAACACTTACACTAGTAGATGCAGCACTTGTTTTAGGCTTAGCCTTGTGAGCATTTTTCTTCTTCTTACCCTTGTTCTGGGCAGAAGAAGAACCTCGCTCAATTTATTTATATTCATATTAAATTTTGCTATTTTTATTTTTCAAATTATGAACTATAGAACACTTTTTTATTTGTCAAAGATAACATTAGCCTTTTCATATATTTTTCCCAAACGAAACTGCTGAAAACTGGCTGGCAAAGTGTTCAAGATCATTTCTATCTGTGTAGCATTGTCAACCTCAGCACCAAGAACCTCCATGTTATTCAGAAGACTCATCATCTTCAAGACATGAGTTCTAACTGGGGTCCCCTCCTCCATTTTGGAAGTAAGAATCTCCCTCAGTGCGTTTTGCCTTGCTGCACTAGTTTGATCTCCAAACATCTCCTTGAGATTTTCGAGCATGTCAAAAGCTGTGTCCATCGTCTGATGCTGATGTTGCAAAACATTTGGCACAGAAGCCAAAATGTAACATCGCGCCATCTCATCAGCTTTAACCCATTTCTGGTAAGCTCTGGTGACCTCCTCAGAGGCACCCTCACCGGGTTTTTTCCTCAGAGGCACCCTCACCGAGTTTTTCAGGACAAACTTCAGTAAGCACAAACTGATACTCCTCAGCAGTAAGCAAAATGTCCAAATTCCTCTTCCAGTCAACATAGTTTGGACCCTCAAGTTTATTTTGGGTTAAGATGTTTGCAAGGGGACTGAATGATGCCATTTCTATATCATGCATTAAACAAAATTAGCATATCAATAATAAACATTGAATAAATATCATATGTGGAGTTGGTTCTTTACTCAGATTTGTGCATGCAAAATACTAAACAATGCTATTAATTTACATTCATGAATAGCAACCTCGATGGGAGAATTCAACCAATCACATGTTTTGCATATTATAATTAGATAAGACCGGCACATACTACTCGATGGGAGATAGCATGCCTCTTAAATTAACATTAATGTGTGAGAAAATATTACATCTGATTCATGTCACTAATTAATTTACTCAGATGGAGAGTTAAATCAATACAAACAAATTAGACTAGTTCAGTAATTATATTAAAACATGACATCTTCCATGGGGAAGAAATGCAAATAATTATAACTAGAAAGTAATAAAAAACCACTCACAAATTAATTCATATAATTAAAATAAATTAATTATAATCAAAATTATTTAATTTTTTTTCTTATGTATCTATTATTTTGTTGTATATTATCCACATTTAATTATTTGAATTCTAGAACTTTATACTTTATGTAGAATTATCTAGGATAAAAAATAATTTTTGAATTATAAACTCTAACTAAAACTTTGCTAGACTAATTGAAATTTATGATTATTTTAAATAAATTAACAACATTATAATTTCTATATAACACAACAATTTAATAAAGCAACCCACATATACTAAATACAATTCCTAGGCAATTTTAATAATACCAGAAACAATCAGGGTCACTTTATAATTTAAATAACTCCAGGGGCCAAAACGGAATAACGGATACTTTCTGGGTCAAAATATAAAAAATTAAAGTCCAGAGGTTAAAATATAATAAACAAAAGATCTAGTGTCAAAAAATAAAAACTTAAAGATAAGGGGTCAAAATATAAAATTTAACAAATTGAGGGACCAGAAGGGAAATTTGGCAAGCAGCAGCTTCTTCTTCACGAAGAAGCCCTAGCCGCTGCCCCTTTTCCCTTCAACGTCCATTAACGCTGCTGGCGCTTTTTTTTTTTTTTTTTTTTTTTTCATGAAGAGCATTATTGGAAATCTCATTATTCTCCTATTCTCGTATTTATAAAGTTACAAAAATAACTAACAACTATTAAAATCACTAATGTTACTGAAAAAGATCTTAAATTAGAAGTTTAATTATTTAAATATTATAATAAGTGGCACAGCTAAAACATTATAACTAAAAGGAAAAATTATTATTTCGTCTCTGAGGTATGACCAAGTTATTTAAGTAGTACTCATTGTTTGGTCAAATATTTAGCACGTCCCTGAGGTTTAGGTTTGTCATTCTAAATAGTCCTTCCATCCAATTGTAAGAGTTTTGACTGTTAAATTAGGATAAAAAGACTAAAATGCCCTTAGGTATCAACCCAAACATCAAAACTCTCTTCTTCCCCCATATTGGACGCAACCACCTTATTTGTTATAAGCTCATAGTGAGTGAACTGTCTCTCCCCTCTCTTCATTATGGGATTTTCCAAAGCTTCCTCTCTCTATATCTCTATAAACAAATAAATAGAGAGAGAAACCAGAGCAAGCAAACCTCATCAATTTCAAAGGGTTCTGTTTTAATACCACATCATCTGATAATCCCTAACTATCTCTCTGAGTGGCAGAGAATAGAATAACGTGCGTCTCTCTATTCTTAGGGTTTTCAAATCTTATATTAAAAAAAACTCTCTTCGATAGAAAGATATTTTTTTTTAATATAAAATAAATTAAATAAAAAATTATTTAATTAAAATAATTATCAATTATTTTAAAACTGAATAATTTATCTATTATTTAATACACCCTTAACTTTCCAAATAATTAGGGCACTACAGGGACCTCAGGAATAAAATAAATCAGGCTACTAATTATAATAATAACCTATGTAGACCAACATATTCTTATTATAATTAATCATGAATTATTCCACTTTATTCCACTAAAAACTCATGACTGAACTCCTTATTTATTTTACAATTCCACAACATAATAAAATAATGTTTAAGATTACAGGATGCTGTCATTTAAATAACTTACTGACAATTTATTTAAATCACAATATAACTTTAAGATTGTCGCTCAACTTATTTCATGTGTATTCAATATCCACCTATAGGATTTACACTATGAAACCTTATAAACTTACTTAAAGTGCATCATCAATCTCTAAACCGAGACATGGATTCTATCATTAATTAATATTTCACAAACACAATATATCTTTGCCCAATTCACCGAGAACATTATTCCAATAATGAAACTCACCCTTTAATGAATCAAAGCACAAGACAATCAATGTTTGCTCATATTAAAATAAATCAAGATTAAGAACGATAAACATTATTTCTAATGTCCTAGAGAATCTAGAGAATATGGTTTAACAGTCAGTACTAACATCCATTCTCACTTGGTCCAATTAAATACATACAAAATGTACTAATCACAATTATTGTTCATATGCTAATAACATTTATTTAATGCAATTTCCAATTAAATACAAAAGAAATAATTGTCAATTTCCAATTAAATACAAAGAAATAATTGTCAATAGAAAATCATTCATAGCTATACTATTACATATGCATGGTTAATAGTATATCTCTATCAATTCCCCATTTTGTTGTTAAGTATTAAGCATCGTCCTTTCCTTTCAGGAGTTTATGTCCTGATGTCAGGACTAGATTTGGAGAGAGTTGTTTTTGTTGGTGGTCCTTTGGCTATCATGCAGGCATGTCTTGATGTGGTTCTTCCTTATATTCGACAAAGAGAACAGTTTGGTCGTCCAATTGGAGAATTTCAGTTTATACAGGTCCTTTAACAGTATTATGCAAGAGTTTCCAGTGTTTAATACTTTTTTTTGTGTGGCATCTTAGCTTTTACTCTTTCAATTGGCCTGCTATTGTAGGGGAAGATTGCTGACATGTATACTTCTTTGCAATCTTCAAGGTAAAGTAGCTTGTTAATATTAAAATGCACTTAAACGCACTTTCTTTACAATTTGACTTTGGTAAAGTAGCTTGTTAATATTTATGTTATTTCAGGTCCTATGTTTACTCTGTTGCAAGGGATTGTGACAATGGGAAAGTTGACCCTAAGGTAATGATGCTCTTTTAACGTCCCTCGTTTATTTATCTTCTAGTTTTTAATTTATAGACAAACTGTTATTTGGACCTACATTACTCATCCTTTGCTCCCATTATGTATCTCAGGGAGAAAAGGTCCATAATAAAATTATTTGGCTCATTTCATTTGAGAAATTTGTGGGCCAATGCCAACAGGATCAGAGTAATTATGACCTTTCATATAAATGTTTCTGCTTTAAGTGTGGGCATGCTTTTTCTCTTGTTATACTCCTTATAATCACGTGTTTATGTGTTCTCTCTTTTTTATTGACCATTTTGTGTTTCCATTTATATGTGTTGAATAATGCAAAGTGGACTTGTTATTTTGTTCTTTCTTTTCTCCATCCATGTTTTGATGTCAGGTCATTTATTATCTTATTGTAATAGCATCTGGTTATGCTAATGCTCAGGATTGTGCTGGAGTGATACTCTGTGCAGCTGAAAAGGCAACCCCAGCTTGCTCTGCAGGTGAAAGAGCACTAAATGACTTGTTAATATAATATTTGAAATAATAATTTTTATATTTTTTAACTATTCACTAAGTGTTTAATGAATTTAATTTTTATATATTGAGGTATGCAATACATTAAATAAAATATTTAATAAAATTAATTTTATAAATTTAAGTGTTCGAAAAAATTAAAATAAAAATTGAAATTTTTATCAATTTTTTCATAAAAATTATAACAGTGAATTTATTCCCGCTGGATAGATCTCATGAGTCATAAACTCATAATATGATATATGTTTGTCTCGTGCATAACTCTTTGATTGGCAGGATTATAATGACGTTAGTTTCCGGAATCATTAGATTTGTCAGAGCTAGTCTCTATCCCTTTCCTTTTCACTATTTCTTGGCACGCAACTCAATATTATGGAAATGGAGAAAACAAATAATACTAACCAAAAAAAAAAAAAAAAAAAAAAAAAAAAAAAAAAAAAAAAAAAAAAAAAAGAAAAAAGAGAACAAACAGAGAGCTGCTATCAGATAGAGACGCAGCATGCTGACTCACATCCCCTCCATCTTCATCTACTGGCTAGGTTAGGATTAATTACTGGTTAAGCTGACTGGTTGTCACTCCATTTATGAGATTGAAACCATGGATTTTATTTAAATGGAGAAGAGTGTGCAAATATATATAAGAAAAAACATAATTAGCTGTTAATCAAGTGCACTCACCTCTAATGGGCATCCCATTACAAAATTAATTAACGACTTTACCATTTAATCCTTAAAATTTCATTTAATCAAAAAGTTAAGCATTAAAAATTCACTAATGCAGTTTTTAGAACTTACAGGTAAGTCGTAATGGTAATAGTCTAATAGAAGCTGACGTGGTGCCATATCCTTTTAGTAGGGGGAGCAATTAAAAATATTTTTAGTGTACCTTCTCAAAAAAAAAAAAAAAAAGAAAGTGTAAATCTAAAGGGTTGTTTTTCCTTACATCTAATTCAATTAATTAATTACTACAACAGATGTAATCCTAAAAAATACTACTATTAACGCAATGCTTTTCATATTAATATTAAAGTAAATTAAAATATTAAATTATTTATTATATTATATTATATTTATATTATATTATATTATAAATAAATAATCGCACTACCATTATTTTCTGTCCTCTTCATTTTCGATTCTCTTCTTTTCTTTTTCTCTTATTCTTCTTCATTTCTCTTTGGAAAGCAGTAGCAAATAGCGAGTGACAATGCAAAGAGTATTTGCAGTAAGGTCCCTGTGTTCTTCGATCATAAGGAAGCAGACACAGCGCGCTTCTTTCTCTACATCGCTTCTCTTCGATGATACTCAGCTTCAGGTCTCTCTCTTTCTCCGATTAGATATGGTTAATATAAATTTTATTATAATTTGTATTTTACTGATGGTGTTTGGTTGCTAACTATTACAGTTTAAGGAAAGTGTTTCTCAATTCGCACAAGAAAATATTGCTCCTCATGCATCTAAAATAGACCAAACCAATAATTTCCCAAAGGTAATTGTATGGGATAATTCAAATAGCTTTTTTATGATTAGTTTTAATCCCAATTTTATTAAATTTGGTGTTTGTGTTGTTTCGCTTTGCTATAGGAAGCTAATCTGTGGAAGCTCATGGGAGATTTTAATCTCCTTGGAATTACAGCACCAGGTTTCATTTTCTTCCTTTTCTTTTCTTTTCTTTTTTTAAAAAATTTGTTATGATCTTCCTCTTTGTTTTTGTTTTATGAGAAATTAAAAATTAAAAATCTAACTAATAGAGAACCGTGTATTCTGCATTAATTTATTTTTCTCTGTTTGGAAGTGTGAGCTTTTTGAGATGGACCTCTAAATAGCATTCATTGAGTCAATTTGTACTTTTTTTTTTTTTTTTTTTTTTTTTTTTTTTTTTTTTTTTTTTTTATTGTGTGTTGTAGAGGGAATATGGAGGACTTGGTCTTTGGTTACTTGTATCACTGCATAGCGATGGAAGAAATTAGCCGTGCTTCAGGAATCATGTTTGGACTTCCATATGTTTGCCCTTTTTTTTTTTTTTTTTTTTTTTTTGTGTGTGTGTAGAGGAATATGGAGGACTTGGTCTTGGTTACTTGTATCACTGCATAGCGATGGAAGAAATTAGCCGTGCTTCAGGATCTGTTGGACTTTCCTATGGTGCCCATTCTAATTTGTGCATCAATCAGTTGGTAAAGAAAAGAGAGCTCTTGCAAATTTTATAGTATTTTGCACTGTTATGAGTTCTTGATGTAATTGTAATGGTCTTCTCAGGTGAGGAATGGAAGTCCTGCTCAGAAACAGAAATACTTGCCAAAGGTTCTATTTTCTCGCTTTATTATCTTTTGCCTCATTATATTACTTTTGCCATGCCATCCAGCAAATTATTGTGTGCTGCTGGCTAGCTATTTCTTTGTGCACTAATAAAATTATCAAACTGTAAATAGTTGTTATCGTCAGACTGAAGTTAATATTATTATCCAGCATTTTGCTTCAAAATTTTACTAGAAAGCAAGTATTTATATGAAATTTACTTTCCTATCCTCCTATCCCACCATATTCAGTTCGAGAAGATAGAATTATAATCTACAATGTTCTCCGGCTATCCAACAGCAGTGATAACGCCTATTGTCAACTTTAGCTAGGAAATATAACTAACCAGTTATCTGTTTTTGCAAAGCTTATCAGTGGAGAGCATGTGGGAGCTCTTGCAATGAGCGAACCAAATGGTAACTTCTATGATCTTTTAAACATCTTATATCTTATAGTTATGGGGTAATGATAACAACCTTGCAGCTGCTCTTTGTTTAATATTGGCTAATATCTTTGAGTCTTCTCTCAGCTGGATCTGATGTTGTTAGCATGAAATGCAAAGCTGATCGTGTAGATGCGGGCTATGTTCTAAATGGGAACAAGATGTGGTGCACAAATGGTCCTGTTGCACAGACATTGGTAATCCTTTTATTGCTGTTTTGTTTTATTTCTAACATGACTTGGCTCTATTTTATGTGCATAGTTGCTTAATTATTATTTGTTTTTCTTAGTGGTAAATTGTGTTCTTGATTTTTAATATGAAATATGTCTCAGTTTATTTACCAATTTAGCACCATTTCGAAAGGTAGAAGCAACAATTATATCTGCATGTAGCATCTCATCATCTCTTGCAATGACCACTATGCTAAAATGAAAATGACTCGGACAAATTTAGAAATCTAACCTGACAATCAATTGTGATGATAGGCACCTGTTGGAAAAAATTCACTTTTAACATTACACTTCAGAGTGATTTTAATTTCTATTCTTGTGAATGTGGAGAGAGAGGGTTCATAATTTGTAGAGTAGGCAATGTGCCAAAATGGATATTATTCAGGATGTTATGTGTGCTTATAAACTGTGGTTTGCAATGCATGAAATTTTATCTCTAATGCTACGGATTTGATTGAAGACATGTTTGTACACACATTTTGCATCCCTATCTTTCCTCAAATTTGCAATATTTTTGTGTACTGAATTATGTTCTTGTACACAATGATTGTAAATTATGCAGCTATTATTGTGGCTGTGATTATCTGTACCATATTTTGTTTCATGAAGTATCCTTATTTTGGAAGTGACATGTAAAAGTTTCTTGCAGGTTATTTATGCAAAAACAGACACCAAGGCAGGGTCAAAAGGAATAACAGCATTTATCATTGAGAAAGGAATGCCTGGGTACTTGGAACCAAATTTGTGTTATTTATCTATTTTCAAAAGAGCAGGCCATTAGATTTCCGGGTCTGGAAAGTAACAAGCTTTACTGAAAGATTATCATTTTATGTCATCTCCAACACAGCAGAGTGCTGTTGGGTTTTTGGCCTTAATGATGGATATATACATGTAGTTTCTGTTACAGAGCCGAATAAACACTTTTAACACCGAGTCAGGCAACTAGAAAGAGAAAATTCGAACTTCTAGTCTATTGTTTTCATTTGATTATAATTTTCTTAAACACCAGTATACCTGCTCTGTGCATTCATGCAACATATTGGGATGAGAACATCCGAGTTTGTTTTCTTTGGAAGTTGAAGGCAGAAATTCATTGGTTGTTGAAGAAAGATTTACTTTTGGACATCGTTGAGAATATCCCTGAATGTTTCAAAAATTACTAACAGACTGAATATGAAATATGAAGTTCAGTAGTATACCTGACTTGTGTTTTGTTTCTTTCTTGTGACTGCAGATTTAGTACAGCCCAGAAGCTAGACAAACTTGGGATGCGAGGAAGTGATACGTATGTTGACAATGCTCTGAGAAATCTCTGTATTGAGTCCCCTAGCCCATCTGTTTCCCTCTTTCTAACATAGGAGATGGTCTGAACAGGTGTGAGCTCGTTTTTGAGAATTGCTTTGTTCCAGAAGAAAATGTGCTTGGGCAGGAAGGAAAAGGTTTTCTCATACTGTAAGCTTATGTTTTTCTTTTGGTTATATGAAGATGTTTCATCTCTTCTTCTTGTGAGTGCTCATCATTTGAAGCAGAGACAGTTGCTAGGTACCTTTTCATTATGTTACTGTAACTACTAAACAAGACTGGTTGCAGTAGTTTGTGATATTTATCCTTTAAATGATGAAAAGTTCAATTCCTTAAGCACCTTCAACCTCCTTACTATCCCATTAAGACTCCCAATGGAAATCATGGAGTTGCATTGAGTTTAAACCTTGTGAAAATTCTAGTGCAAAATGGTATGTTGATTGTGAAATTAATTGCTTTAATTGCAGAGATCTAAATTCATTAGCATCTGAGATTAACATATTATGGGTGGATCAGTAGCGGTTGCATTTATGAAAAGCTGCCACTTCCATTGAGCTTCCAACTACTTAGGACAAAGTAGAATGGATTTTTTCTTGCTATGGTGCTTGGATAACACTGTGATTGATGCTTTATGCTCTCTATCTTCCTTTTTCCATTTTGTTGCCAAGTGTTAAGCATTGTCCTTTCCTTGCAGGAGTTTATGTCATGATGTCAGGGCTAGATTTGGAGAGACTTGTTTTGGCAGCTGGTCCTCTGGGTATCATGCAGGCATGTCTTGACGTTGTTCTTCCTTATATTCGACAAAGGGAACAGTTTGGTCGTCCAATTGGAGAATTTCAGTTTATACAGGTTCTCTACCATTATTACGCAAGAATTTCTAGTGTTTAATGCTTGATGTTTTTATGGCATCTTAGCTTTTACTCTTTTAATTGGTCTGCCATTACAGGGGAAGATTGCTGACATGTATACTTCCTTGCAATCTTCAAGGTAAATGGGATATGGTTCTTCCATTAAAAAGCACGTTGTTTATAATTTGACTTTGGTAAGGTAGCTTGTTAATATTTCTATTATTTCAGGTCCTATGTTTACTCTGTTGCAAGGGACTGTGACAATGGGAAAGTTGACCCTAAGGTAATGATGCTCTTTTCACATCTCTCTTCTGTTTATCTTCTAGTTTTTAATTTATTTACGTACTGTTACTCGGACCTCGTACATTACATGTCCTTGCTTCCATTATAAATGTATCTCCGGGACCAGTGGTCCATAATAAAATTATTTGGTTCATTTCACTTGTTTTGTGGGCCAATGTCAACATGATCAAAGTCATTATGACCTTTCACATAAATGTTTGTGCTCTAAGTACATGCACGCCTTTTCTCTTGTTATACTCCCCATAATCATTGTGTTTTATGTGTTCCCTTCACTTATTGTCCATTTTGTGTTTCCATTTCACTGTGTTAATAATGCAAAGTGGGCTTGTTATTTTGTTCTTTCTTTTCTCAATCTATTGTCTTGATGTCAGGTCGCTTATTATCTTATTATAATAACTTCTGTGCATGCTAATGGTCAGGATTGTGCTGGAGTGATACTCTGTGCAGCTGAAAGGGCAACCCAAGTTGCTTTGCAGGTGAGAGAGCACTAAATCACCTTTTTTCCCGTTTTTGTTTGCGAACCATAGAATTTTGTGCTTTGGTGAATATTTTCTTCATTTCTTACTTTGTCCCTATTCTCCTCTCCTCTCTTTCCTCCTTTTAATTGTCAAAGAAATGACAATGCAAACATTCAATATGAAATTTTATGAAGATATCAAACAAGGTCTACTAGGTTAATATATTCCAAATCTTGTGACTTCTTTTGCAGTTCTACACTAATTTAAAAATTCAAGTGATTTTGCTCAAGTTTTTACAAGTTATTTGCAATTGTACCCTGTTTTGCTAAAATGTTTTTTTTTTTTAAATTCTGTTCTTAATATGAATAAAGAACAGTTATATTTTCTAATTACTCTCTCCTCTCTCCCTCTCCTTACCATCCTCACTTGCACATGAATCAATTAATCAAAAATTACGAACACATCATGCAAATCTCACCAAAATCACCAAATACACTTCAACAACTGCTTAATTGCCATTATTGTTGTCACGGCATCACCATCAAAATGGCCAAGAAATACTTTCATCATTCTATTATTTCTAATGTGTTATGAATCTTAATCTCAGAAATTTCTTGACAATAATATTTATGGATTTTTTTTTTTTTTGTCCTTGAGAGAGAAGAAAAATTAATATATATATCACATGATCGCTAGCAACTTTTTGAATTGGCAAACAGGGCAGAGTTGCAAAAGAATGAATGACGGTTATGCCAATTAATTCCTTTTAGTTCTGTTTGGGACTATCTTTTCCACCTGCCCTAGCCAAAGTTGCTATCTTCTTGTGTATGGTATATTTCTTAAAGATTACGCTCAAATGACTAATTTTGCTCTTTTCTTCATTCCCTGACTTGCTTAACTAAAACACACTTGAGGGTTGATCTTAGAATGCATGTTATATTTTACTTCATCAATTACATTTCTATATTTTACTTCACAGGCTATACAATGTTTAGGCGGTAATGGGTATGTGAACGAGTACTCAACGGGCCGTCTTCTTCGAGATGCAAAACTATACGAGATTGGAGCAGGGACTAGTGAGATCAGAAGAATGATAATTGGCCGTGAACTCTTTAAGCAGTAGGAGAGAACATGCATAGTGCTTCAACGGTCACAGTAAATGATTTTCTTTTACACATTCTGAAATGTAAAACTCTCTTACAGCCAAGGGACTATGCATTACATGCATAGTTCTATATAATAAAATTTACCAGTTTATTGTTTGTGCATGTGTCAAGCATTAAATAATTCAATACATAGTAATTTGTTCTGCAGTTTTTAAAGACATGTAACTCTCCCTTTAAGCACTCGCGGTAAGTGCATATGGATAATTTAGGCTTGAGTACAGATTCGAATCCCTATTCCTACTCTTCAGGAAAAAGGAGAAAAAAATATACTTTGCCTTTGCAATTGCATACAAGGAAATTAGCGAGGAACAATTTTTTTAACTTTTGCTTTGAATTTTTATTTTAATTTAGCCAGTTAATTTTTGAAAATTTTTTCTCCCACCTCCTAGTAGGTAATCGTGGCTCACAGGTGGCAGAAGGCATATAAAACTTGGTCGTTGCCAAGAAAATTACTTCTATAATATTCGGCACTTGGAGACTCTTGTTTTTCACCTGCTTCATAAGCACTGCCCCTGAAATTATAATTTAATTTCTCTAATTTGGGGGTAATTGCAATTTCATAAAACAAAAGATTTACGTTGTAGTATCGAATACAACGACATCAAAGACGGACTACAAGTCTGTCCTCTTAATTGCGCTTATGAATATGATGAACACGAATTTAGGGTCAAGAAGTTATAATCAAGACATTGCCTAATTTGTAAAATTTCCATCCCAAAGAAATCAAAAAACGCTCTTAATTAACTAAAGCTTTTGTTTAATGCTCTTAAAACAAACAACAAGAAACACGAGAAATAAAACCAGCACAAGGGAAAAAAAAAAAAAAAAATACACTACTCTAATACCTTCTGCTTCCCTTTTCCCTCCAGAACTTTCTTCCTCTCGCAGATTGAAATTCATATGCATTATAATCAGCTGAGTCGATTTCAAAATTGCATGGACATAAAATCTTCTTGGGTTTCAATTCTTCTAAATATTGAAATTCAACCCTAGGCTTACTCAAGAACAGCCCTAATTCAAATGATACGTAAGCATCCAAACATGCATACTCAATTTGTTCAAATGTAAGTTCCTTCACATCCCATTTACTCATTGTAATTTCCTTAGGTTTTGGAATAAACTTTTGAAGGAATTTTCTAGCTAAAGCTTTCAATCCCATCTTTCTAATATCTTTATCGTGATATTTTTTTGAAGCCCAATAACCCACATCCTTAGTACGTGCAACATGAATCCCATAATCTTCATGAAGCTTGTACGCATCGTTTCCTACTTCTTTACCAACAAAAGTGAATTTCTCATTGCCAAGAAAATTGCTAAAAGACGAAGGAATGGACACTGCGTGACAAAATTGAAATATGAGACATCTTTTACCAACACAGAGTTGAACAATGGCGACTTTTTGGTGGCTATTAGATTCTGTAGGTAAACACCATTCGGTGTCAAGACCTACAAGAAGCTTGCAGAGTTTACGCTTGTAGATATGCATTGTGGTGGCTATCCATTCATCGACTACACTAGCTGTTGAAGTTACTGTGGTGAAGATATGAGCATCGTAATATTGAATATCATGTGAAGAGGAATCGGCAACGAAAGACATTGTTGTTATTTTTTGAAGAGAAAAGAAAATAGAAGTGAATAAATTGTTGTTGGTTTGGTAGAGTGATGGGTAGAGTATAGTTTTGGTTGATTTATATAGAGGATTCACTGCATGAGTAACTCCTTTTCCAACTAGGTATGGTGTAGGATTATTAGAAAACCTTTCCGGTTTAGGATAATAAATATACGATGATAGCTTTGGTGGCAAGTAATTAAAAATAAAAATAAAAAAAAAGGTTAAAACAAAACAAATAAAATAGAGCTTTACAATTTTTAATTGCTATCAGAATTTTAATTAATTATAAGTGATTTAAGGAATACAAAGATATAGAGAGATAATACAGGACGAGTTTTCTGGCTTAGACCAATGTTGATGAAAAGACCCCATTGCACGAAAACCTGTTAATAATTCCATGTCCGAAATCAAAACGAGAATTTAAAAAATGAACATAATAATAAAAAAAAAATGATGCCATCTTGATGCCTATCGAAGAAGAAAACATACTTTTGCGGAACGTTGTTCTTACTTGGTAAAATTTCACTACAACATATAAAAGTGGCGAACACTAGAAAAGAAAAAGAAACAGAAAAAAAATAGAACAAACACTGCAACCTGAAGTTTCCTCCTGCTAATCCTTTTGCTTTCCTTTTCTTTCATAGCTTTCTTCCCCTTACAGATTCATTAAGATTCAAATCTTCTAGATAGTATAATTCAATTCTAAACTTTGCTCAGAAAATCCCTTATTCCCACGAAACAAAAGCATCCAAACATGCATACTCAATTTGTTCAAGTCTAAGCTCCTTAGCATTCCATTCACTAATTGTAATTTCTTTAGGTTTTGGAATCTCTTTTTGAAGGAATTGTCTAACTAAAGCTTTCAACCCCATTTTTCTAATATCTCTATCATTATATTTCTCTGAAGCCCAATGACCCATATCTTTAGTCCGTGCAACATGAACCCCATAACCTTCAGAACGCTTATTTGCATCGTTCCATACTTCTTTACCAACAAAAGTGAATTTCTCGTCGCCAAGAAAATTGATTAGAGATAATGGAATGGAGTCTGCATGACAAAGTTGTAATATAAGACATCTTTCTCCTACACAAAGTTGAATAATGGCAACTTTTTGACGACCATTAGATTCACTAGGTAAACACCATTCTGTGTCGAGGCCTATAAGAATTTCGCAAAGCTCGCGCCTATGATATGCTTTGTGGTGGCTATCCATTCGTCAACTGCACTTGCCATTGAAGTGACCGTGGTGAATATATGAAGACAGTAATATTGAATATTATGGAAAGAGCAATGGCCAACAAAAGACATTGTTAGCGAATTCGCCGTAAGAGTAAGAACACAAATTTGATTAAATTTTGGGCCTCGAGGGGATTAAATCTTCTTTTTATACAAAGAACAAAAAAAGAAATAATTATTCTTGTTGTACCAAAAAAAAAAAAAAAGAAATAGTTATTGATCCAGTAATATAGGTAGAGTATAGTTTTGGTTGATTTATATAGAGGATTCATTATATTAGAAATTTGAAGAATAGGATAATAAATTTGGAAATTTTCCCTTCTAATAAATTTAGGGTATTAGTAATAACAGCAAAAATATAATAGTATAAATTGGAAAAAAATTAGGACGTCAAGCTACTGTACTGACATTTATTATTCAAATAAAACTACATAATTAATTATTACCATAAAAAAATTATGTTCGTTCATCCTCTCTTTGATAACTACGTGCAAAAAATTCGTGAATGACATGGCACGTTCATCACCATGCATGAGTTTTTGCAGCTCCCGAACATTCTAAACTTGACCATTTATTTCTGGAGATTCTCTTTATATCAAATCATAAAATTATTGCTCACCGGGATAATGCTATATATTATTTAGTAGAACCTGCTGATGTTAAACGGGGACTATAAGATATTTGATCGGAAAAGATTTGATTACATCCGGTATATAAATCTAACCTATACACCAAATTAATTACAAATAATGTTTTAAAATTTAACCGAGGATATTCAATATTGTTTTTAGAAAAATCCTTGTGCACGAGACCATCCATACAAGGATGTAAATAAAAATTTCCTATTTGATCTTTTTCCTAAATGGCACTGCTCTTTCTTTTTTTTTTTTTTTCCCCCTTCGGTTTTGCTACTACTACATAGTTTGTTCAATTTAATATTAGTCTTCACTTTTACAATGTTGTTTTCATGGTTATTTGGAGATAGATTTATTTAACTTGTGGAGGGTAGAGCGTTAATAAATGGTGCGTCAATAATCCCATAATGATTAACTACAAATAAATGAATAAATAGCTTTCAATGAGAAGGAGAATCCAATCAAAATAGCTTAAGGTTGCTCTCTAATTAGGAATGCCCAACTCGCTATGGATACAATAATTAAGTGAATAGTATTAACGAATGATAATACTGATTATAGTGATAGATTGAGTTGAAAAGATGAAAGCGCTAACTTCAAACAATTTGACACACTACATATTTATCATTATACATGTCTAATGCCATTAAAGGCACGACAGTAGGCTTCTGAGCATCAATATGTTCCACTAATAAAGACAATCATTAGACTTGCGACTTAAATTATGAAAAGATACATAACTAGTTAGGTTCAGGTTTTAATAGTAAGTCCACGAACAAAGCGAGCATAGTACTCAAAGCAAATACGGGCACACAAACACACACACATATATATAACCCTTCTTACTGTGGCGAAGAATCTGGCTGGCCGACTGACGAAGATTTTGATGCCTCCATTAGAACAGGTGCTTGATCCAAACAGCTTTGAGTATCATCACCAATTACTCCAATGGTCATCTTCTCCACTTCTTCTTGAGTATATATATGGATTTTGGATACCACATTACAGAACTCACTGTCATCAGAAAAAATAAAAACTCACTGTCAGGATCAAATAGTGAAACATCTATGAAAAATGGTAAAAATCCATCCTTTTTTCACCGACACTCTTCAGCATGTGCGTTTTGAGCCTACATGCACATGATTATCATATTATCACATGTAATTTTAATATTACTGATATGACAGTGATAAGGCATACTGCAACCATATAATTATGAAATGCACTGGATAACAGATAGTAGAAGGTGGGTTTCACTACAAAGACACTTACTGCCACGGGTCGTCACCAACAACCATTACATCATTCTCACTGTCAGTATACAAGATCCGCCATCCTTTGTTAGGATCTCGAAGGAGGCCTTCCATGCTAAATAGTCGCTCTAGTTCACTCAAGAGGTCACCATAGCCATTCAGTCTTGAGAGATCAATAGCTCTTCCAACCAAGCTGCCTTGCTTGTGAACCTTTAACAATTCATGCTTATACAAGTAAGGCAACAAATTAAAGAAGAAAGTAAATGACTTGCATTGCTTACAATGTAGCTTACCTTTGTACAACTCCGCTTACCAGAGTTTTGTGAGTTTGGAGCAGGTGAATCTGCAGTCAAGGAGAAACCAAATAGCTTGCAGCCACCACCAGCCCTGTTAAAAGAGTTGTCCTTTTGATTCATTAGATTTACACCTATAGTTGGTGAAGCAGAAATAGTTTCCTGTGACTTGTGCTCATTTGATTTATTTGGTTTTCCAACTTCATCCCTAGCAACACTAGTCTGAATGGAAGGTGCTCCGAACTGGAAATTTTCTCTTGGGAAGTCGGTGGCATATGAGCGCATTCTTGGATCTTGGCTAGTTTTGTAAAGACCACCATAAGGAAAATACATATTTTGGAGGTTTTCTGCTGCTAGAGGGTAGAAATTGGGCCTTGGTGCATGATATACATTGAAAGAACCACATCCTATGTTGGGTTTGCCCCAAGCACCCAGATTGAAATCACCTTTTGCAGTCAGTGATCTCAGTGGGCATATTTCTTGACCTTGCAAGACCTTCGGAAACCTGTCAGTTTCCGCAAAGCCTGTGTAAGTAGTGGAGCGAGCCCTTGTTATCTCGCTGATATTAGCCTTTTCTCTTCCATTTGACACCAGATTTTGATGTGCTGGATTTCGCATCTCAAAATCAGGCGGGCGGTTTAATGTGTCACATCCATATAGGGGTGATACAAAACCTACATTTTCTTGACCTTGCAAGACCTTAGAGGGTCTTCCAGACTCCTCAAAGTCTAAAAGCCCACCACCTCCTGCAGAACCGAGAAATGGGACATCAAACCACAAAAATTAAGAAGCTTAAGTAGTTTTCAACAGAAAAATTTATACCGGTGATGGGGTTATCAGGTGGGGTTGCTGGCAGACCAGTCCTCAGTTTCTTCAGCCTTGGGGAGGACTGAATGCTCAAGGGTGGAAGTGAAACAGAAGGATCAATCTCCCACGGGGAAACTCGTTCTTGATGATCACTAGCAATATCTTCGTCCCACCTCACCTGTTTAATGGAATATCAAGAGTTCTATATTAACTAGGTCACACAAAAATCATATGATAACTAAAAGTTTGACACCATCCCTCTTACTGAACTCAGAAATGTGTATTTATATCCCTAAACCAAATATCTACCAATTTACAAATTATTAACCTGCAAATTTTAATTTTTTTCACAACTTTCAAAAGGAATAATTCAAAGTTTGAATTCCGTCATTGGATTACAGAGGAGAATGGCATTTTCCTCGTAATTCTATCACTTAGCTGGCTCCATGAAAAATTCTGTCAGATTAAGTTGCTTCTTGCTACATAAAGAAATAATGATTTTCTAGTATTCAAACAGAATATCTAACAGTTTCCAAAATTGTCATTTATATTAGGAAATATTCATCATCTGGAAGAGGGAAAGAGAGGTACAATCATTTTGAGCAAACAATTGTGGAAATCATATACTTTGTCTTCAAGTAGCAGAGAAAACAAACATATGCTTATATCACATCAGAATGTACAGAAACAAAATAATCCAAGTAAAGAAATATTCCATGATATGTGAAGCATGTTAAAAAATTACCATTAAGCATCTCCATTTGGAGTTGGGCCATCTATAAGGATCCAAATCACTAATGCCAGTTACAACACCACTGCACCTGGAACAAGGTAAAAACACCATCATATTCCCAGAAGATAATAATTGCAGGAACAATAATTAGTTTTAGCACATTTCAAAATTCATACAAGACCTTCTGTCTGGAGAATCATCCATTTCAAATCTCATTTTGAATCTTGTACCGATGCACACAGGATTCATGATGCTTTTCATGTATTTCTTGCAAGGTACAACAAACTCTGCATGACTGGCCCTGCATTTTCAAGTATTTCAAATTCCTTTATTATCTAGTATATGGCAGGTAAAAAAGGTAAATAGATTTACAAAAATTGGAGAGGAACTATATTCCTGTCTACTAATCATGAACATCTATCAACTTGATAACACCACACAAGAACAGCAATTTCAACCTTTCCAGAAATTCTCAATTTGATTCTGTAAATCAGTTACAATTCAATTTTTCCAACTACCTCGAAACCTATAATTGCCACATCAACAGAAGTCACTTTTTTCTTTAAATCTGTAATACAGGCTTGATATTTTCCAAACAATTCCGTGCAGAATAAATATATATATACATAGCTCAAGTACTTTATGTACATGCAAGAATGGATCTGCATTATTAAAAATTTTCATGAGGTTAACATTTTTAACTTTCCTAAGAGAGTTGCTCTGAAACTGATATCCCATATTGATTTGGGATTAGGTTTTTATTCAAAGTATAAGATTTGGCAATCTTTCTCCTCTTGAGCAACTTTTGAGGATGAAGTTAGGCCCAGTCCAACATGGTATCAGAGTCTACCCTACTTCAATGTTAAGCCACCCATAGATGAGTTTGCCTGCAAACCTCATGCTCCAGATATTCATGCCTGGGCGTGAGGATGGGGGTCTTTATTCAAAATATAAGACTTGGCAACCCTCCTCTTGAGCTCGCATTTGGGGATGGAGTTAAGCCAAGTGCATTTTACAACACAAACTACTTAATTGTATTTCAAGCACATCAGATTACTGCAACTATTTGTAAGACTGTAATAGTGAATCTTAGATGTCCCCTAAGATGGTCAACAAACCAACAAAAATGCTGTCAACAATTGGCCAAGTTATGCCCACTTATGTACACGATTGCAATTGAGGGGCACAGTCGAGATGAGAACAATAGAACTGGCACAACAAAGATGAGCAGCAGAAGAATGAAGCTTAATAGACATCAGAATTCATAATAACTTTGCAGCTTCGTATGTGAGAATAAAGTGCATTTTCTCCAGGAAATTGTTTAGCATCATAAATTTACTTCTGACAGAATATAGTACCACAACATTGTCTATCAGTGAGAACATGACTAGGTATGCTGTTTCCTTTATTGGTTTGACAATTTGCTTCTTTCACAATAATCAATTTCTAGGCCTGTCATCAGTCAGGTTAATTCATACACAATAATAATAATCATTCAGGTAGTATCCAATCATGGTGTCAACTGAAACAAACCACTATTCCTATTATAGAACATGATTCTTTAATCAAAAATTCACAAGCCTGAACAAGACTAGTATATTCTGGACTCTGGATGGGAAAACTACAGTAATAAATTCCTGGTACCGATGTTGGCAATCTGAACCTGAGCATCACAGTTTCATCACTTGAGAAGAAATAATCACTAGGCTTATTTGACTATTATAATAATATTATACTGAAACCTATATTAGATACAACTTAAATGTCCACTATACTTACTCCAGACTTCACCTTATGTATTTATTTTTATCTTCACGCGTATATTCAACTGTTTCTACTTACTAATATACCTAAGACATCTTTTAGAATTAGCAAGGGGAGTAGGCTGCCAAGGTTTGAACTTATGACTCCTATACCATACATAAGGCAGGCACTTGATCATATTCCGATCATTCAGGTTCATCTTTATGGTTCTCCCTGTTCACATGCCACCATGCCTCGCATTCTTTCAAACTCCACAAAAAATGAAAAGAGTTGACTAAATAGCTACTTTACTTAATATTTCAACAGGCTTGCATAACTCCACAAAATTAATGTCAGATAATTCTCCTCAGTCCTAACCAGCTGGTAAGTTTATTTGAGGACATACACAAAGCCTCTTCCTGCTTAGCCCACAAATTCGACAGAAAGAGACAATATCCTCATCCACATATCAGGAGAAAACAGTTATTTTGTTAAGCAATATAGCGTTATAGCAATGAAGTGCGAGCAAATTGAATAGGCCACGAGTGAAACAACAGCATGTCTCAAGAAGCCTACACCACAACAAAGTGGAAACACCTCCAAACTACAAAATTAACATCGATTAGATTGTGTCCCCATCCTGATGCAACACTAAACAAGTGTATTTCCCTCAGAAGTTGGGACTATACAGCTTCTCAAAACCTTGGCCATCCTGAATCGTGAAACAATCTACATCTCTGATATCACTTATATATTGCTCATATCAAAGTTTTAATGAGTGATACTATTCGTTGTTGATGGCGCAGGCCTTTACCTTATCAATTTGGTATCTCGCTTTATTAAGCTTCTCAAATTCCACCAAATAATTTACAGTAATTTAATTATGGCTTTCATAGGATTTAATAATTAATAGTAATACCAAAATAATAGGATTAATTGAAATATCAATAAGATCCAATTCCTAATAGGAGTAATACCTTGGACTGTATAAGACGTTAAACATGCTCTTTGTGGATATTGCATTAGCCGCTAGAGAAAGTATACTGGGATATGAATTGTGCTTGCCAATAACTGAATCAGGAAGACCATTTCTTGGTCGAGCAGCTCTTCTAATCCCCAACCTCAGCTCTCCATCTTCACCCCTAAGAAGACCAATAGAAAACAGATTGTGAGCTTAAAATAACCAGATATTAATGACATTTATATTCCAAACAAAAATTGGATTCTTTCAAAACAGTATGTTCAAACATCATTGGGAAATTGTTCGACATTTCTTACTTAATCAAAAATTGAACTTTTAGGATCTTAATGACATTTGAACAGCTAAAAGTATTTTTGAATTTGTAGCTTTCTAAGAAAATACTCCATTTCCTAATGATTTGTTTTTCCTAATAGGCTAGTTACTAAATTTGAGGAGGATCTTTTCCCTAACCTTCAAAAGGAGTAAATATACACTTCAGAATCATTATCCTGTATGTATACCTTAGAAATAGCACCGCATCCCCTGAAACAAGATTCTTTTGACTCACAAAAATACTCCACCCCGTAGTAAGCAGATGCCTTCTCGGTTGACCTAAAAAGCAATAAGCATTAAGCAATACCCTCAGCATTTTCCTCACTTAGACCTAACCCAAATATTCCATTAAGCTTTACCTCTATAAATATGTCGAAATCTCCATTCTACTCCATGCAAGTCTTTGGCTACAAGCTCTTGAGAGGGTCTCTGCTGTTTGTAATCCTATAAATAAAGAAATAGCAATACATACAGAACAAAGTCTAACTACAGTTACCAAATGAGTTTGTCAACCAACAATAAAGCAACTAAAGGCATAAAAACATACTAGAGGAGGGAAACAGTCTTCAGCAGCTCTACGGGGAACAGAGAATCCTCCATGGGTGCTAGTATCAGAAGCTGTGAGTGTTTTACAGAACATATGAGGAGTTGATTTTGCTGGTAATCCACCTGCACCCTCGTCATCCACACCTAATTCTTCAAGTTCTTTTCCCTCTAAATTCTGCCCTGCCAACTATGGAATTTCGCAGAACATGACACAATCAGCTTCAAAGTACAAACCTTGAGCTAGCTTATGGAGCAAGACTAAAAGCTTAAGAGGAAAAAGTAAGGAAATTGAGACCTGAAAAGGACACAGTACCTAATCCCCAAAAAAGAAAGCAATTCTCTTCAAATAAAACACCAATAACTTAAAAAAAAAAAAAAAAAAAAAAAAAAAAAAAAAATCTTTTCCCGTCTAAAAAGTGACTGCCCTGCTCAACTATGGAATTTTCGTCATGAACATGACACAATCAGTCTTCATAAAGTACAAAACCTTAGAGCTAGCTTATTGGGCAAGACTGAAACAGCTTAAAGGAGGAAAAAGTAAGGAAATATTATGAGACCTTGAAAAAGGAACACAGTAACACCTAATACACCCAAAAAGAGAAAGCAATTCTCCGCTACAAGATAAAACAGCCATAGGGTGGACTATTAAAAAAAAAAGAGAGCAAGAACAAAAAAAGAAAAAAAAAGGACAGTGAAGATTGGCAGGAAAGTAGCAATTAAATGCATACATTGAGAAGATACCGCTCTGGTATGAGGAAGGCAAAGTAAGCTGCCGGGTGTAGGACCTCAAGTGCTGATCTCTCCTTAATGTGGCCGTGTTTTCTTAGAGTGGGGGCAGAATGGTGATCAGATGAAGAGCTAGAAAAACAATCAAGCAGATGGCACGGAAGGCAAGATAGTGACTGTAGAAATCTTCAAACGTTTGAGAGAGCTCCTCAAATAGATAGATGAACGCAGAGGAAAGTTTAAAATGAAAAAAAAAAAAAAAAAAAGTAAAGAAAGAAAAAAGAAAGACTGTTGAGGCATCTTGACAGGCAGGAAGTTGCCACATTTACCTACTGCTTGGCAAGAAGATTTTGTTGGGTGTGTAGAGGGATCAAGAGGTTGAGGCATTTCGCAGAGGAGGAGAAAGGGAGGAGGAAAGGAGGCGAACCTGTTCAAGGTGGTTCCCTTGAGGGGAAAGTAAAAAAAAAAAAAAAAAAAAAAAAAAAAAAAAAGACTTTAGCACTTACAAGGAGTTGCACATTTACTACTTTGCAAAAGATTTGTGGTTGAAGATCAAAGGTGGGCATTTCCACAGGAGAGAAAGGAGAGGAAGAGGCAACCTGTTCAAGGTGGCCTTGAGGGAAGTAAACAACCACATTCCCTTTCTTGGGCAGTGAAGTAAGAGGACCAGCACAAGCATGCCAAAGCTCCAAGTAAATAGACGAGGAAACTGGAGATGGAGATGAATTAGAAGAACAAGAAGAAGAGGAAGAGTCCCCGGTAGTACAAAATGCATTCTTCTCCACCTCAGTCACTGCATGGTTCAGATCAATTTCCATGAACACCCACCCAGTGTTGTAATCTTAGTATGTGGGCTTAAAAAAATAAGTACAACCACATAACCAAACACCAAAAATATCAAGAAATAAACAAAAAAGAAAAGTAGGGATAAGAGAGTAATCAAATGAGAAAGAAGGGTACCCACAAAGCTAAGAGAAAAACATAGAAAATTGGAAATGAGGTCAAATCATAGCAAGAAACTCTTTTTTTTTTAAGGCCATAAAGCTAATACAGGAGACCGTGCAAGAAGATGAATAGAAAACAACAAGAAGGTCATGTTTAGAAAAGGATACCCACACAAAGCTAAAAAGATTAGAAAGAAAGAAACGAAGAAAGAAAAGGGTATCAAATAATAACAAGAAATTCAAAGTATGATTCCTCCCCCATTTGCAGGTACTGAGAAGAGGGAGCAGAAGTAGCAGACATAGACAATTGCATAGGAAGCACAGAAAACAAAAGGCAAAAAAAAGCCAATGTGGTGGTGGCTTTTGGACTTAGACTGTAGAGAAAGAGAGAGAGTGAGAGAGAAGGACTGTGTTGGGTGGAGGGGACAGGCTAAGACAGTACACAACCCACACTCTCCCCCACACTTCTCACTCTTCTTCTCTCAATTTGCTTTCTTGCTTTGCATAGCTTTCTCCCTTTTTTTTTTTTTCCTTTTTTTATTGACAATTTACAATCAGTCCTTTTCTTTCAAATAAAAATTAATTAAATTTTCACTATTTATGAGGGTCCTCCTCTACCAAGACAAAATGGGGGTTTTCATTTAATGCAACAACAGAAGAACTAATTCTCCTTAACAACCCTTTTTGTGTATTGGGTTCAACACAAAACAGTAAAGATTGAGAACAACCCAATAAAGTTTGAATCTTTAACAGCTAAAAAGAACAAAAAAAGTCTAAAACCATATATGTATGTACAAATATTTTGAGTATGGTCTTCAAATGGACCAATTTTGTTGGGTAATCTTTCCTCAGTTAAGTTTCATTCAGTTGAGTTAGGGTAACAAAGATTCAAGAAACCAGACACATGAACAACACAATACACTGGTTCATTAATAAAACTGAAAACTTTTGTGAGAGAGAAAAGGAGTTGTCAATGTGAATTGGGGCCCTAAGAACTTTGGCAGCAACTATCATGGGCGCGTTGTTAGTTGTTAGGACTCAGTGACTCAGACACCCAGCAGTCCTCTCTTTTATATCTCAAGTCTCATCACCCTTTGTTCTTTTATATTTTCTGCACAGAGCCGGTTCCCCAGCTCCATTTTTATGCGCGTGAAACCAAACGCTTCTGTCTCCCTTTTTGGTTTGTTTTATAGTCGAGAAAATAACATTTTACCTAACAGAAAAAAAGGATTGGGATAATTGCAATTTTGGTGTATGAAATTTTCAAAAATTTCTATTTTGGTTTATGAACGGAAAAAGTTTACAATTTAATGAATCAACTTCTAAATTTTTAACAATTGAGTAAATTTTAAACATGTGGACAGTCGAAAATCTCTGTAGGATGATCGGGCCCCATATTGTCAATTATGTGTTGCTGATTGAGCGCCAATTAGGATGCCATATGGATTAAACAGAGCAGAGGATGTGAAAAGACCTAAGTATTCTCTACCTTCTTCTCATCTCCCTCTCACCTAAAAACTTATCTGATCGACTTAGCTATGATTTGTTTCTTTTAGATCCTAGATCTAAGCACTTTGTCTTCTCTGATCACAGTCTTTTAACTCTAGTGACCTGCAATAGCTAATTTGTGTCTATTTCCTTTAATTGCTCCTTCTTTGCCTCTTTTTATCCCTCACCTCCTTTTTCTTGATTCTATAGATCCTTTTTTCAGAAATAAATTCCATCTTTTCTGACGCGGAACCCTATGGAAATTAATTCTAAGAACTCTATGACAAGATTTGGAAGAGATCAAAGATCAAACTAAACTCCCCTCTATGGCACCAATCTTATTTCTGACGCGGAACCACTATGGAAATTAATTCTAAAGAACTCTATGTTACAAGATTTGAAAAGAGATCAAAGATCAACTAAAATCCCCTCTAGGCATCCCAAAAAAGCTTAAAGAGCAAGAACAAACCTAATAATAGAAGTAAAGAGAATAAATAAACGCCACAATAAATAATTGAATAGCGTTTACCTTGATTCTTGATGCAGATTATAGAATGAATGCAAATCTCACACTCTCTCTAAGCCAAAGCACACGCCTAAGCCATTTGACAAGTAGATAGAATTTCTATTTTTCATTGAATTTAAATTGTTTATTGAATAACAATATACACAAGCTATTTATACTATTCTAAGATGGTCTCCTGATCCTTAAAGGAGATTTAGAATAGTATAGTCCTAAATCAGCTAAGGATTAGGATTTATGCAAAATCTAACCAAACTAAGGATAAGACTAGCAAATCTAAACAACTTAAGGATTTGGTTAACTAATCCAAATCAACTAAAAATTGACCAAATCTAAACAAATCAAGGAAAATAACCGAGGGTGGCCGAATTATAGGAGGCCCAACCCATTAACATTGTTAAAACTCAAAATAAACTAACTAATCTAGCTAGAGGCAGACACGGGCACGGCCTGGGGCGTGCTTCAAGGTAAATGTTTCCTCGCGAGAGTCAGAGGCTTGCACGGCCTGGGGCGTGCCACCTAGCACGGGCGTGATAACCTAGCACGGTCTGGGCGTGCCATATGCTGGAAATTCAGGTTCCAACTCAACATTGGCTTCCAATAATGTGAGAAACTTAGGTGTTCCTTCTAATGTGAGGAAACTTAGGTGTTTCCTTTCAAGTTCTTCATAGCATCTTGTATAAAAAGCAAGGTCCATGGGCTCTTGTGTAATCTTGTTTCTTGATTATGTTTATAAGGACATGGTTGCTCCATATTTCTTTGCACGGCTCCTTGTAATTTGTCTCCATATTTCTTTGCACGGCTCCTTGTAATTGGTCCACTAGGAAGTACTAATGGATTGCCATTGTCGTGGTCATTGTTCCCTTGAGCTCCATAGGTGATTGGTGATAGTGGATCCGTATCATTTTCTTATGATAGTTCCTATCATAGGCGAAGTAGTTATTCCCATTTTCTTGCTTTTATTCATCAATCGATCTGTTTTTATTTTGCATATTCTCCATCTTTATCCTGTTAAAAATTAAAGTTCGATACTTACTAGTTTGTTTCAGAGAGAAAAAGATTACTCTTTTTAGAATTTTAAAGACTCATCTTTACATTTGTAGGACTCTTCAAGCAATCTCCACCATCTTTTAACCTCTCAACACGGCCCTTGTAGCTCTTTAATTCTCCACCATCCTTTTAGAATTTTAGAGACTCATCTTCAAATTCCTAAAAACCGCAGAATTCACAATCCCATTACATCTTTAATTCTCGAAAAATCAAATGGCCCATATTGAATGACAACCAAAGTTACAGTAGTCTGGTCCAGTAACTTACGGCTTTTCTTGATGAGAATTATTGCATTTTGAGCGACTAAATTGCGCATCGAGGTCGACATGAAGGAAGAGAGTCGATCGCAAAGTGAGCACCATTCAAGGACTTTTTAAGGGTTCAAATTGCACAGAGAGAGAGAGAGTGTGTGTGTGTGTGTGTCGTAGTGTGTTTTTTTTTTTTTTTTTTTGTGGGTGGTGTGTCGTAGTGTGTTTTTTTTTT